GGAAGGGGAGGTTTGGGGCTACGGCTGAAGGCGGAAGATGGGGGTGAGACGGGAATGTCCCCCGGCAGGGCAGTACGGGAGACACATAAAGGCTGATTGTACGGCCCTCAGCCGTACGCGATTCAGTTTCCGCCGGTGTCAGATAGCTGGTGGCCCCACTTAGCTAGGGTTAGTGAATTAGGTGTTAGGCGGTTAGCCGTTGGGAGCTTGGTGCTGCGACTGCTGTTTGACTTCTTACCACCTATGCCCTTGGATTCTGCTACTGCTAACACTGCTATTGTTGATGTTACAGCCCGTCCTTTGTTCCGGAGCTGGGTTTCGTGCCCGAGCTGTTGCACTGGTTCGCATCCATTGCCGTACCGGTATCCCTTGTCAGGTCGGTGGGGGCCCGGGGGTTGTGGAGGGGGGGGGGATGTGTACGAGGGTACGTGTGCATGTGGGGGTGCGGGGGTTAAGGGGGGTAAGGGCGTTCTGATGACCGACCGTTCCTTTTTTCTGTCCTTTCAAGGATATTTTTTCGACTACCGAGTACGGCGTACGGCGTATGACGTTTTGCTTGCTTGCAAACACACACAGACAGTTCGCGACCTCACGCCATGGCTTGTTGGATACACCCCACGCATACACACACATACATACAAAGACACACATACATACACACATACATTTAGGCACCACTGGTAAGGCACGGACCATTGCCCCCGGGATATCCCGGGTTCAAAACCTGTCAGGGTCTAAACTTCTTCCGATGGTGAAAGGCGAAAGTCCTCCTAGCCGATGGACGATGATGACTTGAAATGAAGTTAACCCGCGAGCCGACCATGAATGGAGTTGGGCCGCCGTCAATCCGGCAGATTCCGTTGGATGCTGGTGGTGGGTGCTGAACCTGAGCGATCTACTGAGAAGTTGACTAGGGTGACTGGATGAGGGTGCCCCGAAATACCGGGGAAGGCAGGGTTTCGCCGGGTAGCTGCCACGGGTGAAGATATATCCCCCCCTGTTTCACACATCGTACAGTGGGTTAGCGTGCGGTCTGTGTTTTTGTCTCTCCCCCCCCTGAAACCCCCGGGCGGTCCCCTCCCCGCCACCTCCCCCCCGCCTCCGCCCGAGTACGGAGTATTACCTACCTACCCCCACCCCATTCCCCTCCCCAGCATCGGCGTCTGGATGTACGGCAAGCGCATGCCAGCATCACTGCTTAGGCAGGTACGGCACGTTGTACGGCAATGTCGACTCCTCGGCCAAATGTATCTTGCCTTGTTCGTAGTACACACTGTACGAGCACTGCTTGCGGCCCACTGCCCAGACCACCGAAAAATGATTTCAAACTCAGATCTGCTGCTCTCTCACACACATACATACGTACACACACATACACGCACACACGCGCGCACTCACCCTACATCATCCCCTCCTTTACCCCTCCCCCTCCTTTACTATTTTACAGCTTCGCTCTACTACTCTTCTTGTGCTCTTATTTTAGTTTAGGCGGCTAGGTAGGTATTTTTCCGATATCGTCATCACTACATCATCCCGAGGACGGCTCCTTCACAACCGCCGACTGGTCAGTTCTGCTACCGTCCTGTACATCTGCCGCAGCACACTTTCCTTAGCAGCAGCTTCACTCGTTCACGTGGTTCGGCGTTTTCCCCTCCCTCCCCCTCCCTCCCCCTCCCCACGCTGTCTCCCCCTGCCCCCCAGGCCGGCACTCTGCTGCTGCTCAAGGTTGCCGTACTCCCCCTCCTCCAGGCCGCATGTGCCGTGGCGGTGGGGCTGCCCGCGGGGCCCACACTGACCTTGGTGCTGCTGGCCTTGTGCCCCACGGTACATGGGGGGGAGGGGGGGGGAGGGGGGGTTGCGTATGCCCATGCGGGGTAGGTCCTTGCCAAAAGGGGAGACGGTCCAGATGGGGGAGGGGTATGTAGGGTGGGGCGGTCAAGAGACTCCTCCCCCGGGGTTCTGCCGGGCTTCTGCCGGGAAGCTTAGGGTTTGGGGTTTTGAAGCAGCACTCTTTTTTACTATCGACCCTTCCGAGCTTTCCGGCAACCTACCTAATACAGGATCCACTGTTGCCGTACCTCCGTGTACCATCCCCCGCCCCAATACCCCACTCCAACCCGCATCGGTTATACACCCCCCCACACACACCCCACACACTCTCCCCCCTCCCCCGGCGCGCGGCCCGCGCAGGCCACAATCTCCTTTGTGATTGCCGCGTATTTTGGGTACGGCACTGACGTGGTGAGCGCTGTAACGCTTGGAGGTACGATTTTGCTCGTACCCGCAGTTCTTATTGCATTGCAGCTGCCGGAAGCCCTGGGGGTGGGAGTCCGTTTGGTGTCGCGAGGTGAATGACGTGACACAGCCGCCACAGCCACAACCACAGAGATCATTTTCCAAGGAGGCGGTGGCCGCATGATCGCCGCACCCCCCAGTGTTTGGTGTAGAAGGAGGTTGGAGAGGCGGGGTGAAAGGCCCATGAAGAGGAACAAATAGCTGTACGACAAATGTACGGATGTGTGACATAGTCTGTCTTGGGTCCTTTTTGGAGTATAGGAGCGGTAGAGAGGAGAAGCGCTGCCAGGTTGGTTATGGCGTAATATGGTAGTACGTCATCTCTCTCGGCCTTTTTTCTAACCCTGCTGTGCTCATTTTCGGCGTTGATATTCATCCAGAATGTCAATTCTTTCGGTTTTCCTTTATGCTTTCATTCTTGGATTAACTCGTTGCTTTGGGAGTTGGCCGCGTTGTGATGTTGCCACTGAAGAAGAGTATCAACTTTAAAAAAATGGTGCCAGAATAGGAAAAGATTTTAAAAGGTGTGGGAAGCGCGATGAGAATGATGTAGTTGTAGGTGGAGCGGGCATCCACAATGCTGGCGCGAAAGGATGCGATTTGAATTTTGGGCCATTCAAATTTGTTTTTGCGAGGTGACTCATCCTCGTGTCCATGTCTACGTAAGCGCGCGGTGGCGCCAATTCATTTCCGGTCAATGATGGACTACCAACATCGAGACAGACCAACGCCGCACCAGAAATGGGCGAATGGTCACGACAAGCAAGGTGTTCCCGGTTTGCTGATCAAGGGCTCTTGGTGGACGATTGACGGTGGGCGAGTTGGAATTAGCTTATAGAGCTGCTGGCATTACAGTGGCCTGTTTGGAGAGTATGGTTTGGACGAAGCGTCCAGTTTTTTTCCTGTGTACGATACGTACAACACTTCGTAGGCAGTAGTACGGCATTGGGTAGGGACTCCGCTGGTGAAAAGAAAACTTGAAGATGACTCTAGTTGGAATTCTGCGGACATCCCATTTGTTGTTGGTGGCGCCTGTGTGGGACGTTATATGAGCTACACTGTCGCTGTGCTTTTGCACAGCAAGACAGCTTTGTACGATGTCGTACAACGTACGACATACGACCATCATCACCTCACCAGTCACCTCCAAGCCACAAAAAACATCCTCCCAGCTTCATCTAGAAGCCTGCCGCATCCCGTAATTCCAAACACAAAAACAGCAAAGTAGCAAACAGCACATTGCCACCACTACGGCATCGCCAACCACACCTTTGTTATGTTCAGATCAGACATTGGCAAACGCTTCGGGAGTTTCGGGTCGGTCGTATCGAAACTTCCGAAACCAGAAATAGACCCGTTCCCGAAACCAGAAATACCCCATTTGCCGATGTCTGGTTCAGATATAAACAACAAGGACCTAGCAACCACCACAACTAACCGCTACTAACTACCATACATCCGTCCAAATCAAATCGTCTGTTCAGCATGTACAAAATCCTGGCTATGTACGGCCAAAAGGACTACGACACTTGTACGGCAGAATTCACCAGGACAGGTCTTCCGCAGCCGGGTTTCCCCCCCGCCGCCGTACCCCTCTGTTGCTGCGGGTTCCGACGTCAAAGGCTCCGCCGCCGCTGTCGACCGCCGCTGACGCCGCCGCGGCAGTCCCCCGAGCCCCTCCCTTAATCCCCCTCCATTCACCGTAACCCTCGTCCACTGCCGTACCCCGCACAGGACGCCAGGACTCCCCCACCGGCGCCGTCACTCTGCCGCCGTACACTTTTCCCGACGAACCCCCGCCTCCGCCCCGCCTGCCTCGTCCGCTACCGCCGCCAGAACCGGCCCCTCGTCCTGCCGGCTCCGGAACCGGCCCCAGCACCTCCCGGACGTCGTACCCCGCCGCCTCGCACGCTGCCTGGACCCGAGTGGCGGCTTCCCGCAGCTCTCCCGCCTGGCCGCCGCCGTCCCCCTCCTCACCGCCACAGCCACCAGCTTCCGCCACCTCCTCCTCAATCTCCTGCGCCTCCTTCAGCCACCGTCGCGCCCGATGCGCCGCCGCCAGGAACAATCCGCCGTACTGTGGCGCCGCCGACGCGAACACCTCCGCCAGCGTCGCCAGGTCCTGCGGCTTGGCCCCGCTGGCGAGCCTTGTGAGCTCGCGGGTGCCGTACTTCGCGATCCGTTCCGCCAGCCCCGGGTGTCGTTCCAAGTGGCTTAACTGCCGACTCCCGCCTCCGTCACCACCCCCGTCAGCGGATGACAGCTCCGACGCGATTCCGCGGGACCGTTGGCGGCCAGTTGTGGCGGTTGTGGCGGTTGGGGTGTTGGTTAGGCCGTGGCCGTGCATCGCCGCAGCCAGGCGAGCCAGGGACCAGGCGGGCAGGTTCTTCACTCGGCCCTGGAGCCGTACGGCAAACTGGACCGGGGATACCGGGGGGTTTCGACGAATGCGCGGGAAGTGTGTGTGGGTATTTTTCCCACGGCGACGCAATTATGAATCCCAAGGGGTTTTGTCCAGAGCGGGGCCCAAGGGGGGCGAGGATGGAGACAGCAAAAAAAGGAGTTTTGTATAAGTGGTACGAGGTTCACCTTGTAATGGTTACTAGGCAAGGCGGGAAGTACGGAACTAAATCATGAGGTTGGGAAAGGTGTCGTACAGGGGGAAATTACCTCGCAGGTTGCGAAAGCCGCACGCGGCGGGTCCGAATGTAAACACGACTCTGCGGAGACTCCGTCCACAACAATTACGAAACGATAGCCACTTGTGGACATAGTCAGGAAAGTAATCGACCAAAAGGGCTGGTTATGGAAAATACATCATCATCTATAACCGTTTGAATCGACTGGAAGTCGTCAGCGCTGAGCGCCGCGAAGAGGCACGTGTACGACAACACACGTGCCTCCCACTCGAAACACCACCTAGGCCCCTTTCCTCTTCTCGAGCCCTCCGTTTCCCCCCTTCCGGCCCCGGGGGGAGGTCCTTCCCCCCTCTTCCCCCCCGGTTCTTATCCGGTGCATACCTCGTCGTACGCCTGTGTTTCGTCGTACCCGCACGCCGCCAGCCCCCACACCGCATCCACGAGCTGCCCAGTGGACAGTCGCTCCAGCCGGCCAGGGCGCTCCAGGGAGGACCAGGCGGCAGAGAGAAAATCAGCCGCACCAGGCCCTAACGGCGCCGCCGCCGCCGCCGCCGCCGCCAGCTGCTGCTGCTGCTGCTGCTGCTGCTGCTGTCGACGGCGTCCGGCGGAGTGGTCGGATGGCGTGGCCCTGTGAGCTGGTGGCTGCAGCGGCGGCAGCTCTGTTGCAACTGCAGCCTGGCGGCCTCCTCGGCCTCCGCCGCCGCCACCCCCTGTGCTCTGTGCCGCCGCGCCCAACAGCCTCAGCAGCCGTGTGACGTCTCCCGGGGGGAGGTGCCCCAGGGTGGGGCTCACCTGCCCGTGAGTCAACCTGCGGCGGGGGGGGCGGCGGCGGGGGTGAGAATGCCGCGGCGATAGCCATACAGACATACGGACAGATAAACGTATAGCCCTGGAAAGTAAAGTGGAAATGTCCGTTGTTGCTGTTGTGAGAAGATTGCCAAAAATACACAAACCCTAAGAGAACACTAAAACCCTAAACCGAGGAGGGGGGGAGAGCAGCTGTGGTCCCCCCACCCCCCGGTCCCTCCTCCATAACTCTCGCACCTGAACAGCTCCGTAACGACTCCGTGACGCTTCAGTGACCCAAGGGTCATTAGCGCCGCCACCGCCTGATCGCCACTCAGCGGCGGAGCCGCCACTGCCGCCGGCGACGTCTCTTCACCACCACCACCACCACCACCACCACCACTACCACCACCACTACCACTGCTACTGCTATTCATTTCCAAATCCGAGAAATTCTGATCTAGCGAAAACCCGCCGCCGCCGCCGTCACCCCCCCCACTACCGCCCGCCGCCAGCCGTAGCAGCTGTAGCTCCAGACCCGGCAGTAGCGGCGCATTCCGCGCATCCGCCCGCTGTAGCACCTCCAGCACCTGTAGCAGCTGGGGAACGGTCAGCTGGCTCGACTCCAGGGCGGGCACCAGTCGCTGCTGGGCGCGGAGCAGCAGGCGACCGTCCAGGGAGGGCAGTGGTGGCGGCGGCGGCGGCGGCGACGATGAAGGGCGGGTTGCCGTGCTGCTGGTGGTGGTGGTTGTGGTGGTTGAGGTGGTTGTTGCGCGGGAGAGAGTGGCCAAGAGGGCTACACAGGCGTCTGGTCTGTAGTGAGAGCATGGAGGGGGCCCCGGGGGGGGGGAAAATAAGAGGGGAGGCAAGAATTAGATGATAAATATACTATTTCAGAGAGAGAGATTATTATATATAATCTGATATATAATATATATTTTATATTTATTAAATATATTATTATATTATATATATACTCGTTATTCCGCTATTTCTATATCTCTACAAGTAACTTATGTGACGACGATCATGATAAAAATGATGATGGTGATGATGATGTCGGATGAGACGGACACATGACTGCCGACGGCGGAAGGGAGGCAGGGCGGGGAGGGGAGGGAACGATAGTACGGCAGAAAGGAGGGGGAGGAGGAAAGATGAAGTCAGGGTAGCTCGCCAAACTGTGGCGGCGAAAAACGAGTTATGTCCACAGACATACAAACATACATACACACGCACACGCAAAACTTACCTGAGACTGCCGACGCGGTCCCGTGACACCTCAACCAGCCGTTCGTACACTTGCTTTCCGCACGTATCATACAGAGGCCCACCTGCCGTACAGTACGGCTCCAGCGCTTCGGCTGCCTGGACGAGCTCGGCGCCTGTCAATCTCTGCGCCTGCTCAATGACCAGCTGCACACACAAAGTACAAGACACGAAGCACAAACATGTCACCGGGTGGTTTCGGAGACGGCGGCGGTTTTCAGTCGGCTTTGGGAGCGGGGAATTCGTAACGGGCGGAAATCTTGCGGACCGCCATCATCATTACCATCACATCATTATCGTCATCACTATATCGTCATCATTTATATAATCATTATCGTCGTCATCAACAAAAGGAGTAAGTGGATGCTTTTAAGGACGTCTGGGTGATGGTGGTACATCAAAAAAAGGTGGCGGTCGTCGTGGCCGTTAGGTAGTTGGCAGTTGCAACGGTAATGGCAGTTAAGACCGCCTCTTGGGTGCACCTAGAGGGAGGTGAGGTACGGAGAAGAGCGACCGCACCTCACCTGGGGGTAACCCACAGCTCCGAGATTTTTTTCCCGACTCCAATCGAGGCCTTCCCCTCGTAAGAAATCCATCTGTTATCGTCGCAAAAACACCTTATACAAAATTGTACAAATCGTACACTTGCCGTACATCCGTCCCCAACAAGAAAAACCTCCGCCGCTGTCGACGCACCTCCGCCACGCATTCCGCCAGCAGCAGCGCGTCACCGCTAACCTCGGTCGTGTAGTCCTCCCCGCTGCCGTACTCCGCTTCCGCTTCCGCCGGGCGGCGGCGGGGGGG